GTGCACCACGGGCTGAACTGGGGGTCAGGGAGAAAGGAGAGGAACAGCTAAGCTCAGAAGCACACTTAAACTGCTGACACACTGGGGTGAGAGGAAAAATGGTCTGTGCTCTCTCACAGGAGGGGTTTTTTTCTAGGCAGTGTATGAGAAACGGGCCATGGGACTGCCTGGCCTTTCACTGGGGAGAAGTGCTGCAGGGTTCAGAAGCAAACACCGGTTCTTTCTGTTCAGTAAAGACCCTTCCTGCATGAGTAGCTTCGTTACGGTGCTAAAGGTTACATACTTGTAACCTAAGACTTAATTTGCGAGGCCGCCATAAATTAAATCCTTCTCATCTCTCATCATTCATGGTTTCTGGGAAGATAGAAGCAGATACAAGTCACAGCTAGAAAACGAGGAGTAATTGATGGAGCAGCCAGAGGGCTTTGTTGTAGCCACGTTCATTTTGTACTTGTGAATTATGCCAACAACAGCAAATATATTTACATGCATTAGTAGCACATTCAGGAGAACCTCCTAGTGTGTGCAGTGTGTGCAGGTACTCTGATGCTGTATGTTCTGCAGTGATATGCTGTATCAACAACACGCCTCCCTGTTCCTGAATTACTGCTGAATATTCCAGGTGCTCTATAAGACTGAAGGCCTTTGCACTGTAAATCACAGGAGAGCAATAATTTTAGCCTTTCACAATGAGAAAGCTTGTGCTAGAAAACCTTTCCCTCTCAAAGGCCCCCTCTTGACTTTGGGTGGTTTGGGCTTGCAGGTCCCCCTACTTTTCTAGGCTAGAATTTACAGATAGAAACTGAAATACAGTTCTATGTCTTCCATATTTATCACAGGTGTGAATATAACAGAGGACTTAGGTAACAGGGCAGTGAGACCTTCCTTTATGTGGCTTATGGCCACAGGAAATTAAAAAGTTTAAACTGAGGAGGGACAAAATACCTTATGTGCAGAATTGTTTCGTGTTCAGTATTGCTACTCTGAGGCCGCAGGGGACCTGCTGACAGCCCGGCTGCTGTCACAAGGGTCCTGCCATTTCGGGTGTCCTTAGAGACTTACCATCTGGACACGCAAGACATGCAAATGTCAGTTCACAAGACAAAATTATCTTGCTCTCAGCACTGCAGGGGAAAACAAATGGAAAATAGGAAATTAATGTAATTAACGACTCGCAGAAATTGAAAGGAAGAAGTATCCAAATGAAGTTATTCTAGAAAATACCATGATTTTAAATCAACTTGATTGGGTCCGACTGACCAGCCTGCCTTCAGAGGTGTGTCAGTCCTACAGCCAGGGAGGCCAGCCTTTCTTCAGCATCGTAAAACTATTAAAAATGGATGATACCCTGATTTTTCCACCCCAATAATGCAGCTTGGCCAACTTCTGCTGAACGAATCTGCTAAGCAGACAGCTCTAAAGCAACGCCAGTTGCGCTGGCGCTCGAACCTTTCTGCCCAAGAACCCCCTCCCTCAGAGGTGAGGGAGAGGGACCAAAACCTGCCTGGGAAAGGCAGGAGGGCTGCGATGGATGGCGGGACAGCCCGGCACGGGAGGAAGGATGCTCTGCCCACCCCGAACCTGCCGCCCTGGGCAGCTCTGCCCCAGTCTGCATCAGCGAGCGGCAGCTGCTGGAGTCAGCTGTATCATCCAAAAGCTTTTGAGGAAAGTTGTAGCTGGAGCTCTGCAGACAACTGCTTCGTTTCTGACTCACTGACTAACTGGAAAAGGAAAAAGAAAAAAATAATCATCTGTCTGGGTCAAACGAAGGCGGAGGATTAAGCAGCAGCGCTGAGGGCCCCGAGGTACCTGGACAAGCATTTCCGCAGAGGGGATTAGCACAGCCAGGCTCATGATTTGAGTTTCCAGCTGATTTGCTTCCCTCATCCCCAGCCTCCCCCCCGGGTCAGGACACCTGCAGAAACCTCCCGGAGCACCACGGCCGAGCGCCTGATCTCCAGCTCCCGGTGGGGTTTCTACCTCTGGTTGGAGGAGCCCACCAACCTGAGGCAAGCTGCAGCTCGCCTTGACCCAAAAACGGTGGCAGGGAGGGGGACAGGCTCTTTAACTCGTTCTGCCCAGCCTCCTCTTCCCAGCCACCAGAAGGTAAATTAAGGAGGATTGTGCTGTTATTCTTCTAGATAAATACCACTGACGTCTGGGCAGCCTTGGCTGGCAGCGCTTATGGACTTCTATTCTTATATTTGTATATTTTAAGCTCAAGCCAAGCAGCTGGGACCACAGGCTAGGTACTTTCAGCGAACGCCAGGGAGCAAAATAGCCAACAAATTATCTATTAAAAGTTGCCTTAGAAGGCGGCTTCCCGTCGGGGGCGGCTGTCTCAGCGTGCTGCCCGGCTGGGCCATGCTGGGTGAGGAGGGGATGGGGACCAGCACCCCTCCCTCGGGGCAGGCTTCTGCCTCCCGAAAAAAGGAGACGGGAAAGCAGGGCCAGACCTGAGAAGTTGTGTGATTCCTGGGGTGCCCACAGCCGGAGGCCACTCACCGAGCCCCGCGGAGCTGTGCCTGGGATGAGCTCTTGGCTTCTCCTCTGCGGGCACTGCGGCTCACAAAGGGAGGGGTCTGGAGCACAAGTCTTATGAGGAGAGGCTGAGGGAGCTGGGGTTATTCAGCCTGGAGAAGAGGAGGCTGAGGGGAGACCTTCTTGCTCTCTACAACTACCTGAAAGGAGGGTGTAGAGAGGTGGGGGTTGGTCTCTTCTCTCAAGTCACAGGCGACAGGACCAGAGGAAATGGCCTCAAGTTATGCCAGGGGAGGTTCAGGCTGGATATTAGGAAAATTTTTTTCACTGAAAGGGTTATCAGCCATTGGAATGGGCTGCCCAGGGAGGTGGTTGAGGCACCATCCCTGGAGGTGTTCAAAAGACAGGTTGATGTAGTGCTGGGAGATATGGTTTGATGATGATGTTGCTTCTTGTTTGTTGTGCGGGTGTCTATTTTTGTCAGTTAGGTTGACGGCTGGACAAGATGATCTTTAAGGTCCCTTCCAACCTAGAAGATTCTGTGATAAACTCGGCGAGTGTGTCAGGGCAGCCTGGAGGCAACCAGCAGGGAAACAACCCCGGGTCTGGCTTTTTCACTCTTTCCAAACCTATGGGCAGTGACAGGTGTAAAATTACACCAACCAGGCAATAATTCAGACCCCTTTGAGTGCCAATTATGTGTCTTTTTACAACATTGGGCCTCTGCCTGAACACATCATTTAGGAGAAAAATATGTTGTAAAAGTGTATTCATTCAAAAGAATGCTGTAAAAAATGATTCTTAATATCAGTCTCACTTGTTCAATCTTCAATCTTTTTCTCTGCTCCTCGCCCATTCTGGGATAAATGAGCTCTGGATGCCCTGTGTTGCGTGCACGATCCTGTCGATTTAGCAAATAGGTCATCGAAAGTAAATATACATAAATCTTAGCCATGTATGGTCTCCAGCCAGGGAAAATGGCTTACAAAACCCAGAAAGATGACCACCCATTAAAAAAATGCTGGACAGTATTACTTTGATGGCGGGGACCCAAGCTACGCAGCGTATGGCACAGTTCACAGAAGAGGACTCTGCTAATCTAACACGGGGGCTCGTCAGGCAGCACAGCTCACCACCTGGGGCACTTGGTCAGGCTGGATTTTGCCCTGGTGCCAGTGGTTGCCACCAGAAATAAGAGTTTAGCCTGGGCTTTGTGTTTTGGCTAATAACTACTAAAATTTAGGCGGAGACGGTGGGATCCTGCCTCTAAAACATACAGGTGTGGGTACTGGCCTTTGCTAGAAGGAATGATTTGTGTGTGAATTCATTTATCCACTTCATGAGTGCAACTACTGCCTGCTCTGAAGCCTGGGGGGCTCCTGTGGCCAGCCTACCCACCCCTTTGGTGGAAGAAGGCTCAAAGAAGATAGGCAAGGGTGATGTGCTCATGAGACTCAGGGAAGCGTGTAGAAAGTGACCGCAGCTGTTGTAAAGGAAGCTGAACTTAACACAAAAGGGACTGGAGGGTGGCCTTTGTTTTAGATAAACAGCTGTACCAGTTGTGTGGGTCAACTGGTTGTGTAAATGTCCTTCCCTAAAATAATCAATAGGGAGTATTATCTCCCCGCGCCAGCCAGACTAGCAGGGGGGAAATGAAATGTATTTGTGGCTCAGCTCAGCTCAACACAGAGTCTAAAAATTAAACACCCAGCAAAACCCATCCCGAGCTGCCTTCAGCTGGTAATGGGAATCATGTTTGCAGTGTGATCCTACTGCACGTTGCAGTTGCTGTGTTGTGTTTGCATTGTGATTTCAGTATTTTGCTGTATCGCTCTGTTAAATCAGAATCCCATGCAATGTCAAGTACTTACAAACAAGTAAATTTAGTATTTTCAAATTTATTTTCAAACATCAAACCCTCCTCGTGTGGAACATCTGAAAGAACCCGGTCAGAGGATACTGGACTCTGACAACTTCATGCCTTACCCTCACCAGGAGATAGGCTTAGGAAAATATTTTCTAAGCCCTTTAGAGCACCTTACTCCTGTCATTGAAGCTGATGGCACATTCTCTGTAGAGGTTATCACACCTGGTGTCACTGCAGCTTCCAGTATTTCCCTGTAATTTCCCAAACTGCAGATGATTAAGGTAACTACTGTGAACCCACAGCTTCTTTGTAAACTTCCCAAAGCATCACACAAGCTTCTAGAAACTGTCTTGTCTTCATACTCCTAAGTTTCTACCCAGGCTCTTCTCCCCTATTTCCTTATCCCCCAGGTCGCTCGCACTCAGGTATTGGAACTCGGATGAGCAAAAAATTGTGTGTTCATTTTTTATCCATACAGCTGAAGGGGGAAGGCTGAGCCCTTGTTACTGAACAGAGGCACGCAGGATGATTCAAAGTATGCCCATGCTTTTATTTACATATTTAAAATTATATTACACCATATAATGATATCTTATAATGCAGTATTATAATAATATAATAATAATTTTGAGTATTTTTATTATTACACATGATGGCATATTTTTATCTTTAAATGTGTATGTTACTCTTTTTCAGCCAACTAATGGAAAAACTTGACTAGAACCCAGAAGCTCTAAAATAGTTGAAATGTATCAAATGTACATGGAAATGCTTTGTCTTGTGGCACAGACATACTTATAAGAAATCATGTCACACATACAGTTAATGCTGCCGATAGACATAGTTTTCCTTTGCTGACGCCGTGTTCCTCAGTCTGTGGAAGCTGTTTCTATCCTTACAAGCCCCGTTTTAATAACACTTCAAGCCATTTAAAAATCTGCACTGCAAGCACAGTCGAGGGGTGTAGAGCAGTGCAGAAATCAGGGTGAGAAGAACGCAGCCAAGTCTGGGGCTCACACAGATGTTTGTGTGCACAGCTACGCACACCGCTGTGATTAAGAGGTACCCCTTTTGGTAAAGGAGCTGCAAAGCAAGACTCAAGGGTTACACGTGCCCATGTATGGCAGAAAATGCACATTTGTTAACATAAAGAAATAATATACACCTAGCTTCAGACACATATTCCCCGGGTTGCTAACTTCAGCTGGCTGCTTTTAAACTAAGGTGTCTTGCCATAGGGTTTTTGCATGCGAATTCACGACAAAGCCTGAGGTACCCACTCCACTTTGGTCTTCTCAGTGTCCTCCCAGCCTAGGGCCACCTCTACCCTTTCTTAATTTACTCCCAGAGCCCCAGTCCACAGCAACCTCATTTCAGCCAGGGATAACGGGATGCTTCCTGAACTTTTGGGGTCATTTCTTACCATCATCACAACCCTTCCTTCCTTCACACCACAATTGCCAAAGACTGAGCGGGAAGTTTATCTGTTTAGACCAATTTATGTTTCAAACTCAGATCAACTAAAGCAACAAGGCTAAAACAGAATCAGTGGAGCAATCAAGCAGTGAAAGAGGCTGTCCTTCCCCACGGAGGAACCTGCCTGTGAGGCTCGTTTGCTCTCCCAGGCGTTGCAGAGGGAAGTGGGGAAGAGCCAGGGGGGCTCCTGGGTTTGGGACAGTTATGGTTCTTAGGACTCCAGTGGGTTCAGATGTAGCAAATTGTTGGACAGTGGGGTTGAGCATCTTTCAGAAACCCAATAAACACAGTCAGCATAATGGTCCAGTGGTTCTGAGGCAGTCGGCAATTAAGGGCCCTCTGGGGGAAAGCCTGTGGCTAACTGAATTATAAAACTTATCAAACTGGGAGCAACATCACAAAATGGATGTAGGAGAAGGAAGCAAAATGCACTTGCGCAAGGAGATTTTAATTACTAGAAGAGGGCAGCAAAAAGACTGCAATAACTTCTTGTCTTACCTGTCTGCCTTGGAAAAGCCAAATCCTGCAAATACATTGCCACAGATAAATTCTGTAGGATGCCCTGGCACCTGCTTGGATCTATTTGCAGGATACCCCATGAGATAAAGATGTGCTTTGGGTCCGTAGAGAGTATTGCATTGGAGGCAATACAAACTCTGCCTTTTATTCAAAAGGGTTTGACTTGTTAGTGAGGTTGGGCCAGCAGATGGCAAATACCAGCTTGTAATAAAGTATAATGCAGTTTGCTGCAGAAAAATATAGCATAATTTAATATGAGGGCAAGGAACCAATCACCCAGAGCAATGAGCAGCGAAGGGATTGAGAGTATTATGGAAAAAATCATTGAAACCATGAGGCCAGCACACAGCTGCAGTAATAAAGTCTGTCATAAAGTGGAAGGGACTGTAAGAGAAGAGGACTTAGTGTAGCTGGTATTAGTCAGAGCCCCATCTGCCCTAAGCCCCACACCACGTAAGGGGGCTGTTAATGGCTCAGGGGGGTACAGGGCAGCTCAGGGAGAGGGCATCTATTTTGCTACCAAGTTTACATGGAAGAGGTGGCCTACATGGAGGTTCCAGCATCCCACAGGATGCTCTCCTACAACAGAGAAGGAAGCAGGCACAGAGCTGAACCCAGGTTTGTAACTGTCAGGTCTTTAAGGCCTTACATAGACAAAATGTCTTGCATTTTTCATGTGTTTTCTGTTTATTTAGCTCTAAAAAAGGCACAAGCAGATATTTTGCTATTTGTGTGACCAGCCTGCCACTCTGGAGAATCCCCAGCGCCCTGATGCTGAGTGAGCATTGTGTGCAGGCACACCAGGTAGCCAGCATCCATGAAAGCTTTTCACTATCCTTTCCTGAAAGCTATCTGCCCCCCAAAATCCTTTCCAGAGAAAACAATCATCTTCCTCTAATTCCACAAAAGCTGGGCTAGACCTCTCCAAAGAAATAGGGGAAAATCTCTGAATTATTTAATACCATTACTCTGATTTTTTTTGGCAAAGTTCTTTCTCAAACGAGCACTGTTTTTTTGGTTTGTTAGGCAAAGATTCATTTCAGATCTGAAAGTCAAGCTGCAGTTCCCCTCCTTGCGTGTCATTCCCAGCCCCAACAGGCTGCAGACCAGGCTGTGCTGTGTCACCCCTGAGTGCCACACACCCTCGTACCCCAGCCCTCCGCACCAGGGACCGTCTTTGTCTTCCCTGGGATTGCAGAGTGATGAATGAGCTCAGAATCTGACTGAGCAGGTATTAATGAAGTTTAATACTGTCTTTGGCCAGCCACAGTGACGACCACTTGATGGCTGAAGAAATGATTGCATTCCACAAGAAACCATATAATTAAACCTACAGGAACCTCCACATCAAACACAAGCATGTGTCACTACCCCAGATGAAAGTACACCCGAGGCATAGAAGGGGGAGAGCTTTTACTGCCTCTCCTTTTACAAAGGCTTATGTGTTTGAGAAAGAGGCCAAGCAGCCAAGGGGAGCTAGCAGAGAAGATGTAAAAGAAGCCCTTGAAACAAAAACACCCCAATAGTGCAACATAAAAAGCTATACAAGAAAGAAAGGGCGTCTGACTGGGTTAGAGGTGTAAGAAAAGAGATTATCCCCTTTTGTCTGATTTTTCCTGTGATTTGTGACCGGTGCATACCCTTAGTGCATTAACAGAGGTGCATCAAAAGAAATACCCTCTTCATCACCACCTTTTCTTTTAAAGAAAATAGTCCACCATTCTTTCACTTGGCTAAAAGCTTAGGATCAAAAGGGATGAGCAGTGCTGCTGCTGCCTGAGATGCAGGAGTGCAACTTAGCCTCTGCACCATCAGCACGAGAAAGGAGCATGTGAAAAACAATCTTGCCATTGAAGTCACCAGACCAGTATTCTGATTTCACACATGGAATATATCTGCTAAGGAAGCAGATGCCAATTTTATACAGTCAATCTTTAGAGTAAAACCACACTTTAAATAATGAGGGAGTGGGGAAGTGCATCAAAGGTTGGAATGAAACTTCATGTTACCACGAATAAAGGCTGGGAGTGCTCTGGATGCCTTCAGAGCTGAATCTGTGTGATTTTCTCCTAAATAAGTTAAGTGCATGCAATGGAATTGTGTGCACGTTAATTCAATTCCCACAAATAGGGAAATGAGAGGTATCCCTAACCCTCCCGCTCTGCTGGACCCAGGCCCAGATACCCAAGCACAAGTCCTGGTTGTGTGTTGAATGGCTCAATCATCTCAGAGCTGCTCTTAGCTTCATCGGCCCCAGGGGTACTCAATGGAGTTGAATGGCTGTGTTTTCACCAGGGCTGTGCTCTGTCCCCGTGTCCCTGGGACACCCTGGAGTGTGTTCCCCATCCCTTCGGGCAGCAGAAGGGAAGCCACATAATGGCTCTGCAGCCGGGGGTGTGGGTGAGGGTCCTGTCCTGGAGGAGCACTGGGGATGGTGCCATGGGAAGGCTGGAAGCACCAGCCTGCTCCCTCAGCACCCCTTCCAGGGCAACTAGACCTAGTGGAAAATGGTATTCAATTTGTACGAGCAAAATTTGCCTCAGGAGAGGGGAGAGGTTAGGGATAGAGTGTGCCAGAAATTTTGATCAAAACCATGAGCCAACCTGGATGCAAACAATTTTAACTGGAGACACTCTCAGCTAGAAAATGCAGCCCTCGTGTATCCTGAGCTGCAGCTGCCCCAGCTTCTGAAATGGGAAGCAAGACAGCATCAGTGACCGCTTTCCCTGTGATTATGTGATGACCACAAGATAATACTTGAACTGTTATGTTTTTACATTGTGTTCTACTAGTGACTTCCCCTAAAATAATGAGTCAATAGCAGCAACATTTAAGGAAGCGTAAATTATTATTTTCTTTCAAACTGTGTTTCAAAACAACGTTTAATTACTTTTCCCAAGTAGATTTCTTCTGACTTATCCTTCCACAGGTAACTTTGAAAATACCTGTTCAGAATGTACATTTTTAAACACCCATGTTTCCTGCAAACAGGAACGCCGAGGTTTGGCGAGCTGAGCTCTGAGTGACACCCCAGGCTTTGCAGCGAGGGGACATCCCTTCATCTGCAGCCTTGCTCAAGACCTCCAGGACAGCAAAGGGAAGGCATTAGTCGTGAAAGCTCCATGGAGTCAGATCTTTCTTGTCCCTGCATAGCGCTTCTCTGTCCTGTTTCGGGAACAGCAGGATCCCCGTACAGAGCACACACGTGGGCTACCTGGCCATTGCAGTAGGTAGTGCACAAACCCAAGCTGAAAGGAAAGCCCCGAGGAATGTCCAGCCTGGGCAGAGGGTACCACCGCTCACTGGCAGTGCCAGCGAGTTACCCTAGCCCCTGGGCTGCATTTGAGTCCTTTTTACACACTTCCATTTGGACGACACAAATTTCCACTGTTGTTAGAGGTCCTCATCCAGAGCAGGATCACACCTTTGCCAATTGAAGTGAAGCCGCAGAGAGAATTCAAGTCTTGCAGGCTGGAAACAGCTTTCTTCACCAAGTTGCTAGACTAGGGCAGCTACACCTTTGCCCGCTCCTCTCAGCCCATCACCACCACCACGCTCTCCATTTCCAGCCCCAGGGGTACCGAAGAGCAGGAGGAGGGCTGGCTGTCCCTGCCTGTGGGGCAGTAAGGCTGGGGGCAGGACTGGGAAGTAGCACCACAGCGACAAAAACCTCCTCTGGGCCTTCTGACCCAATCTGTGGCTTCTCTCTCCTACATCCAGAAGCACAGAGGGGTGAAGGATCTAGTTTAGACATCTGCATGCCGGAGGGATGCCTCCCGTCCCACCTCCTGCTGTCTAAGTATATAGTGGGTCTTCTCATTAACTCTGAGAGAAATCCTTGGGTGCTGCCATTAAAGCTCATTACAGCTGCCAGAGGCAACAGAAGCTGTCTTGTGGTGAGCAGTTAGAGCAGTTCAGCTCCATTCTGCCTCCAACACATCATCATGGCCTGATCTGATATCCAACAACAATGTGCAGCCCTTAAGGGACTTTTATTTTATCAATGTACTTTGGGGTAATTAACCCAAACAATTTTAAATGAGGCTAAGAAAAATACCTCCACCCTTTATTTTAACTGCAGCTGCTAATTTGTAGCAGTTCTTGAAACAATGGATCCTTGTGTGCTATAAGAAACTTTGATCTGGCATGGGTTCTTTCCTGAGGAGGCTCCAAGAAGAAGAAAGAAGCCCAACTCATTTCAGGACAAAACAAAAAGCCATGTTCTTATAATGCTCAGCATTACATTTAGACTCATTTTGAAACATCTGCATAATCCAAGTACAGATCAAAGCCTGGATGCCTGAAAATATTCCCCCGACGATGAATGTAGGATTACAGCGACTCCATACATCACACGACAGGTGGTGGGATGCCGAAGGATCACGTTTCTGGAGCCACTCAGGATGTGTGCCAGGAGGAATTTCACACATGAAACAGATCAAGCAAAAGCGGTCTTGAGCTCCGCTTTGAGCGACGTAGAAACCTCTGGGTCCTCACCTGGCCAGGGCTGGAAAGGCCTCCAGAGCCAGGACCTCTGCCTCGGTGGTGGGCTCTCAGCTGTGCGGAGCGGGCAGGGACCTGGAGCCAGATCAAAGCTTCACGGGCTCGTCTGGGAAAAGAGCTTGAGTCAAGGAGCTCTCAGGTACAACCCCTTACGGAGCTTATCTTGGGGCGCTGTGCCGACTGATCTGCAAGTTACAACAGTTAAGGTAATTAAATTGTTTCTTGTCAGTGAATTATAGATCCCTTTAGGCTGCTGCTGTTGATGATGAGAAAGATAGTGGTTACTGTTAATGGAGCCAAGGCTGGTAACAAGCTGCCTTCTAAGGAATGTCCCACTTCGGGGGCAGATTTTCTAGGGAATGTTCAAAAAAGAAAGGTTTTCTTTCTGTAGGGCAGGTATTTCAGTGCCATCACAGTACATATAACAATACATTCATATATAAATACATTCTTGCACATGTATAAAAATAAATATTGTCTATAACTTTATATATAAAGTAGATACTTACATATATTTGCAGTTATATAAGGCTTTTCCCACTAGACTAGTTAATTGCAAAAAGTATCTCGGGTAACACTCTTTGCATTGCATTTGCCTTAGCTTTCGTAGCAGAAGGATGAAAAAATTTTCTTTAAAATCTTAACATGTTTTGGAATCTTGTTTAATTTGCTTTTTGTAGTCCACCCAAGTTGCTGGGAATGGGATTCTGTCAGCGCAGCATCTCAAGGGCACTGTCCTCATCAATCACAACCCCAGCACACTGCCCTGGAGAAGAATGTATAAGCGTTGCATTGCGTAAGCATAAACCCAGTGTAAGCAGATTTAATGGAATCATCCCCTGGCGTAAATAGATACTCCTTCATCATGTGCTGCAAACACAAATGCTTTACCTAACTCTTATCAAGGAGTTTGCAGTTTGCAGTGAAACTGTGACCATTGTGTAGAAATCTTGAAAAAATTATCTTCTCCCCGAAAACACACAAACAGAAATCTATGTCCTCCTTTATTTTGATGGGATGGCCCCGCCCTGCAGCTGACCTCTCACACTCAGCTGTCATCAGAAAACATAGTTGGGAAGTGATGCCAGTGTGTACCTGGACCAGCCTGAGAAGCATTTCTGAATGATGCTCACTAGGCGTAACTACTGCTAGGTGACAAAATGCAGGTTTAGGGACTTAAAAACCTAAAACTGGCCTTGGGACTGCACGTTACTTCAGTTAGAAAAAAGAAGCTGCTGTCATTAAAAAGAACTGAAAAAGAAGGACGTTCACAAATAAAATAACACCCTTCAATAAAGGAGGAAAGTGTGTTGGCTCCCAGCCAGCGGCGCTCACTCCGAAGCCATTTCAAGATAATGGCTCATTCATTAAGAAGTGTTGCTCAACAGCCACGGAGCAAGGGTGTTGTGCCCGAGTCAGAATCCCCTTTGTGCTGGGTCTGGGAAGAACCTGCCACCCCTCCACAGCCTGCTACCGGCTGCAGTGCCCTTAACCAAGGCAGAGCAGAGGGTAGGGTGGAATCCCACAGTATTTTGGGATGCAATACCCCTACTAGTCAGGCCTGGAAACCTGCAGCCCAAACAGCCCTGCTTTTTTAATGTAGTATAAACCGAAGTGATTTTCAGAGGGATCTGCACAGAACTCACTTTGAATGCATTTTGCACTGCCCGTGATTTCCTGCTTTGTATTTTTGGATAGAAATTTTTTATACCAGGACAATATCCAAGGGATGGGTTTATTTGTAAAACTTCATACAAATGATTAAATATTAGATAAACACAATTATCTCTCAACTAGCTTATAAACAGATGCCTCAGTTACTGCACTGCATTCCGGGCCCCAGGGACATGGATCTCATTAGGCAGCCTTACCCAGCCGGTATGGCCAACCTTATTAGGAAAGGGGATTGTCATGGGCCTGCTCGTGATTTCACTTCAGTGGAAGGGCTTTTTGACAACTTATTCTTGGGGAATAGTTGCCAAACCCCTCCAGTTTTAAGATGTGCTTGAAAGAGAAGAAGAACAAGAGAGAGAAAAAAAGAATGAGAGAGAGAAAGAAAAAGAGGGAGGGAGAAAAGGAAGGAAGGAAGGAAGGAAGGAAGGAAGGAAGGAAGGGAGGGAGGGAGGGAGGGAGGGAGGAAAGAGAATTATTAAGTATTCACCTTTCATTTCCATATGTACTTGATAAACAACAAATTTGACCGCACAAACATAATTGGAACAGATTTAGGGAAACAGAGCCCTACCTAATATCGGTCACACTGGGCCCTTTTCTGATCCTACCACAATTAGCAAGTGGCAATACTCTGCCTGGCTTAGCAGAAATGGAGTGTAACCCTCATAGAGGGAAGCACGGACTTTGGGGGGTTTCAGAATCTAGAAAGCCCATCTCTGCCTGTAAATTAGTTCAACAAAGTACGAACCATTTCTGTTCTTTTGAAATCTTTCTCCTGCTTTTGCACCCAAAGGCCACAGCCAGGCCTGAAGCTCCTTTTTTGAGAAAAGCTGCACAAACAATGATAAGAACAGGCCTAATTTTGTGCCAAAATGATCTGCGGCAACAAACTGGGGCATGGTTACAGCCATATTTATTGGCATTCCAGCACCATGACTCACGTGGGATTAGCTCTCAAAGCAGAACAATGTGAGCTGAAGAAGTTTACACTTGAGGGATAAACAGACAAAGGAGATGGATTGAGGATCCAACCTGCAAGAGATCAAATTTAGGAGAGAATTGGTGCAGTAAATCTTTGATAGTTACTGGGCTTTTCCCCCTTTTTTTTTTCCCCCCTTCTTTCCCCAGCATCGAGGGTGAGGTTTTTGGTCAGTGATGCTAACCTTTAAGACTTACATGGGGAACAGCAGTTTACCCTGACTTTCTGCAAGCTAGGTGATTGCACTTCTTTTTTTAATTTGCCACTAAGTCAAAGTGTGACTATTCAGTGACCAAAATGAGTCAAAGGATTAGGCCATTAATTAAGGTTTACCCTAGAGGATTTTATTGGGGTTTTAATGAGTGGGCCACTACCAGATTCCCCAAATCCTCCAAAAATCTAGCTCGTATGAATTCTGAGCATGGGACTGCTTGTCATAGAATCATAGAATGGTTTGGGTTAGAAGAGACTCTAAAGATCATCGAGCTCCACACCCCCTGCCATGGGCAGGGACACCTGCCAGTAAACCAGGTTGCTCAAAGCCCCATCCAGCCTGGCCTTGAACACCTCCAGGGATCCCTGAAAGCCCCATCCAGCCTGGCCTTGAACACCTCCAGGGATCCCTGAACACCTCCACAACTTCTCTGGGCAACCTCTTCCAGTGTCTCACCACCCTCACAGTAAAGAATTTCTTCATAATATCTAATCTAAATTTCCCCTCTTTCAGTTTAAAACCATTACCCCTCGTCCTATAGTTACGCTCCCTGATAAAGAGTCCCTCCCCATCCCTCCCGTAGGCCCCCTTTAGGTACTGAAAGGCTGCTATAAGGTATCCCCGGAGCCCTCTCCAGGCTGAACAACCCCATATAGGGGTCATATAGGGGTAGCTGATTAAGCTCCAGGTTTTCATGTAAGAAAGCTTCTGGCCCGCCTATTTTATCGTTAGGGTCCATTTAAAGTCTGGGGAGCAGTTGTTGCCTTTTGAGAATCCTACAATAACTTCCCACGTTTCCTTGAGTCTGCATTCCCAGATGTTGTATCCTCCATGTCCATTCACCACCTACCAACTGGAAGCTACTGGCAAGTTTATATAAAGGTAGGCACTGTTTTACATGCACCTTGCTTCATTTCTTCAGGATCTGGCTCATTTCAGTTAAATAGTGCTAGAAACTAGTGGCTCGTTGTGCTGCTAATGGGGCAGAGCCCCAGTGAGCTGCTGCTGCAAGTGGAGAACCATCCAGTGTCCTGTGAAACACACAGCTGGATGACAGTGATGCCCAAAACGTGATGGAGAAAGAGCAGATGTCAGTGGCAGAAGGAGCAGTAAGGCCAGAAATGGGGATCAGATGGCTCCTGAGGCCATTGCCTGAGGTTCTGTCTGGGTAGGATGGATAAAAAACCAGCTCAGAGAAGAGCCAGAGCTGGAACTGCAGCAGGGTGAGTGATGGCCTCTCTGTTTTGTTGTTACAGGGTGAAGTGCTGCATTAATATAGTTGTTGTGGAACAGCAGTGCCTGAAATGGGATCATTTTGCTTCAATTAATAGTGGGAGGCATTTCGCTTCTTGGAGGTCCCTTTCTCTCCTTCCCCTGCACCATCTCTGATCATGATCCAGACTGGATTCCAAGTGGGAGGAAGAAAGGAAACACACAATTATTGATTTGCTTTGCCAAAGTTTGAATAGATTCCTCCTAAAACAAATGAAAGCTTGTTTAACTGGCCTGGAAAACATGAATGTGTATGACATTATGTACTGCCCTCTTTGTAACTCTATCACACTGGGAGATGGTTATAGCATTAGACAGAACAACATTATCCCAAGCAGCCTGAATTATGAATCCCAAAGGCTGTATTACACTAAAAAATCTGTGGTAATGGCAAGAGTTGGTCTCTTTGCCTTACCTAGGCAGGGGACATCAGCCTCCTAACTCAGCATCTCATTAGTTTTTGAGTGGCTGACTTTCTGCCTCTCCCCAGTTCCCAGCTGGTGGCTGAGGCTTCAAAATATTCAATGCAGGAGAAACTGAAGGCAGTTGATCAGAATCTGAAGTAGAACAAAATTCCTGTCACCTTGCTTGTAATTTGCCAGTCCTTTCCACTCCCTGTCTGGCTGGTGAATTAGGAGGTGTTGAAAAATCTCCTCCTCACAAAGAAATGATCTAGCAGTTGAGATCTGCCACCAGTATACCAGGTGCTGCACTTCCAGACATGCACTTCCATCCCAAATGAATTTAAATTCACTTTTAGAACCAGTTCTTGATCTGACTGTCCTAAATATCCTGGTGTTCCCCCAAAATTTCTTAATCTTTTGCAAAGGCACTGAACCTTAAACGCCTATAATATTGTGCCTGTGGGCTAACAGCAGCATTTGTACAGGGTAATGGGCAGGGGCAGAAAGGTGGTTACAAAGAGTCTTTGCCATCTTTGCTAATCCTTTTAGCTCAGTTCTCATCCTAGCTTGGCTATGTTTGCCTCTGCACTAGCTTGTGAGAGCCAAATAGTTTGCCAACTGTGTCTCCAAGTGTAGTCCATG